GCATGCTCTGTAGGTATATGGATATAGAAACTAAGTTCTTGTTCTTTCCCTGTCACTGCACCTGTCATTAGAGAAAGCTTGAAAGGAAAGCTGGTATCTTTAAGAGCATTGGCTAAGAATAATGAGACATGTTTTTTTTCTTATGTTCTTGGTCATGATTCACAAGTCATAATCAATGTAAGATATACTTTTTAGAATAAGCGACGAGACAAATCATGAGACAAATCAAGTGTCAGAATATGGGCTAACTCAATGTAAGTGGAGATCACCCTTCACTAATCAGTAGTGGAAGAAATCACCAAATATCTCTTATCAACCAATGGTTATCACTCTTATCATTGAGCACTCAGCCCGCACAATTTCTGTATATTGTATTGTAAAATCCCTTTCTCAACTCAGATATCAAAGAATGCTTGTTATCTCTCACTTGATATTTAGACTCAGGATTACTTTCGAATAATGACCCATGCCCACTCTGTCAAGAGTATAGATTCTGTTCCTACTCCAAATAGGATATATTCTAGACTCATCCTAGTCTAGATCTCGAATACAACAAGCATTAGGAATTTCTTAAACTAATATTTATCTTCATCAAACAGTTTCAAAATTATGAGGAAATAATGCATACATAAATCCTAAACAACCTAGAATAAATAATTTCCAACTAAGCTAAACATCGAACATAGAAAATCTTGCGGCACAGCAGCACGCGATTGTGTGCCATGACTCACAGTCATGTGCTGAGAATACATGTGCATGGTCATATGCTGGAGTTGTGTGCCATGTCCCACACTGTCTTTACTATAATAGCTTCTTGATAGACCAACCCAGGAACATGTTTTGAATTTTACATAAATGTAGTAGTAATAAAAAGAAGAAAAAAGAGACTTTGATCGGGAATAATTGAATTACAGAAAATAAAGGATAGTAATCAAGCTCTCCATTGGCCTGATTCACTCCCAACAGTTCCAAGAGCTAAACAAAGCTAATGTGACTCTTCAATATTTTGGATGCCTTTCTCTTTGCCTACTCTCCTTATTTATGGCACTTTCTGAGTCACATTCACCTCTACTAATCATCCATCTTCCTCCTCAAAGATACTACTAACAGAATTATATTAGATTACATGATGATCCTCCCTACTAGCATTTCTTGAGCTGGATTTGTTAGGCCTGTAAATTTAATGGTAAGTACTTGTTTCAAAATTGGAAAACCCATATCATTCATCATAGTCTTGATTGGGATTTGTTATCCCTTGACTGGGAAAAAAATCCTTGAGACATAAGTTCTCTTGTCTGCATTTGTCTTCTAGTTGAGGAATTGTTTCTACATTGCTTCCATATGAATCTTGACATCTCAAAGCTAACCTACTTTGATTTAATGCATCAATTAATTTTTTTTTTCCAGACACAATTGGAAGAAACATGGGAAGCACTTTTCTCAAGTATTAGATTTGCTAAAAACTTTACTGGTCCTGTGTGCTTTCGTCATGCTGTTTTTGTACCTTTGGGGTACGAAACAGCCTGGTTTAAGGGTCTGAGTTAGCATATTGATTGCCGTGGGGCTTCTGCAAAATCCCTGTGGGCACACCCTGATAATCGCAAAACTGCACGACTATCAGAATTTGGGGAGATGATAAAGGCAGCTTTTGATTTTCCTGTGGAAATCCCCAAAAGACCAAAGTCATCCTCAGAACATAATGTACTTTTCGTTCGACGTGAAGATTATTTGGCACATCCACGTCATGGTGGTAAAGTTGAATCCAGGCTGAGCAATGAACAAGAAGTATTTGATTCATTGAAAGCATGGGCTTCTAATTATTCTCGATGTAATGTAAACCTCATAAATGGGTTGTTTGCTCACATGTCTATGAGAGAGCAAATCCGAGCTATCGAGGATGCTTCTGTGATTATTGGAGCTCATGGGGCGGGTCTAACTCATGTAGTATCAGCATTACCAGACACTGTAATTCTTGAAATTATTAGCAGCCAGTTTCGGCGCCCCCATTTCCAATTGATCTCTCAGTGGAAAGGTTTGGATTACCATGCCATTAATCTCTCTGGATCTTCTGCTAATCCAGCTGAAGTTGTTAGAGAGCTTAAAAAAATCATGAAAAGCATTGGTTGCTGAAGCTCTGTATATTGGTATCACAATTCTTTTCTGCATAGCTAAGAAAATATGAATGGTCAGCCAAGTTGGATATAGAGTTTCCTTTAAGGCCTTAGGTGTGAATTTCTGTATGCTATTTCTAGGTGTTAGGATGAATATTAAAGGAATATATTCAGGTTTGAAGAATTTTGGTCATGGTGGCTGATGAGTCAAGGATGCGGCTTCTTAAATATTTTTAACGGATTGAGTTGTTTTTCTGTGTTCTTCCTCAGGCAGTTCAATGCAAGGTAGTTTAGGACTTTAGGAGTAACATAATTTGACCAGTTTGTACTCCATTCATATTACCAATTTCGCCTCTGGTTGCAGGTAGGCCTTTGTATACTTTGTCCCTAACATTTGTATATAAATTTAAGGTAGTCTATGTACAGTTATAATTAATATCATTATGGTGGATGATCCACTTGAATGGATGTCAATTACCTCGAGGTTTGTCTCTCAGTGATTTCTCCTTGTCTTTGATACTTGACTTTTGTTACTGGGAAGTTTTCTTCTGCTTGCATTAATCTCTAAGATGCTAGGAATAACAAGAGGCCGAGCATGATATGAACTTTTGAACGGGGAACATATGTATTCTCATGTCTTGTACCTTATATAACCTGTCGAATTTAGACCGTACAGCGAATATCTTTAGCAATGTGAAAAGCACATTTGAAGTCCTTTTTACATGGGTTCTAAAGTTGCAGTGTGTGGCAGACAGTGAATACAGCGACCTACGATGCAAGACACTATCCTGCATTTTAGAGTCTTCCTGGTTAATTTTAACTTGTGAAGAAGTTTGGAGCGAATTCGTCCGATGGTGGCCACACCAAAACACTCTGTGAGGTGATGATTTTTCTCACAGGTATATTATTCTGCAAGCTGCTCCATCCAAATATAGATAAGGTGGGCTTCAGGAGGAGTAGTTTCATTTTAAGAAGATGAAAATGAAATCTCAGTGGGGTTGTTACATATCTATATCTGATTACTGAATTGATTTCATAAATTTTTTTTCTTTCCTTTTTTCTTGGTAGGGCATAGAGTAGGCTTGATTTTGGACTGAAGCATATTAGTGGAAATAGATCTGAATGTCTATTGACAGCATGTAAAGTACCAACAGTTTGTTGCTTATCAGTTTTCTTGATGAAATTACTGTTCTTTTTTAAGAATCAGAAACTTCTTTACCTTTGATTTGGGAGTAATTATTTGTCAAATGTAGGCTTTTTTTTTTTTTTTTTCAATTCCTTATTAGGGGTGTTGATGGTTTCATTTTGTGGAAAGTAGAACTTCACGTTTTCTGATTTTTGTGAATTAAGATGAACGGAATACCTTGCTATAGGTGTACCCGGAAACAGTCTAAAGATGTATGTAGGGGTGATGTTACTGGAAAACTGAGTCTCACATGATATTCTTGGACTATAGAAGCAAAGTTTTGTTGCCATTAGTTTTGTAATTGTTCCAAGTTTCTTACCTAACAGCAACTAGCCTATATTAAGATTATTAACCCGATATGATATACGAAACACAGCAAATTTATTTGTTGGACCATCTTATCTACTCCGTACTAGATATAGGTTGATGTACTTTATGAGTTTTGGAGAAGTGGTTAGTTGTTTAGATATGCAAGATTTCCAAAATCAAGAACGCAAAAGTGACTCTTAATCGAGTTTAAGATACTTTAGTTTTAAGTGATGGAGGGAGTATGTAACAATTATTTTTGGTCTTAGCTATAAGATTGTCAAATACAATTGTCATTTATTAACTTCTACAATTTCCTAACTAGCTTAGAGGATTTAATCACCAAGTAGAAATTGATCTAGTGGTTAATATTGTATCTCACAACTTTGAGATCGTGGAATAATTGAGATCTTTCATAAAATAAAATTAAAAAAAATAAAAAATTGTTGTGGGATCAATCTCTACCGGGAGTCCGGGAGAAACTAGATTAGAACTCTCTTAAATCGAGTTAACACATGATATGTTTTGGTTTGATAGGACCTATTAAGGAACTAAAAAAACACTTTAGTCATGTCACCCAGAAATTTTAGTGGCTAATTTATAGTACATCCGTAGCACTATTTTATTATTAGTAGAGACGTTTCATGAGGGGGGGGGGGAATGAAGGATCAAACCCCTCAAGAGATGGAGGGACTAAGTGACTAACCATCCCTCCACTCCTAGATCCTCGTAATTATTACTGTATAATTTAAATTTTTAAAAATATTGTTTATTCTTGTTAGCAACTTTTTTTTTCAAATAAAAAAAAAAAAAATATGACTCGGTATTTTTTTTTTTAAAAAAAAAAACTTGACTTGGTGTTGTTAGGAAAAACGAATTTTGATTTAATTAAGATTTTTTTTTTTTTTTTTATTTTTATATAAAAAGAGTATAATGGCAAAGTCATGGTACTTTAATGAGATTTATGGGCTATAATAAAAAGAAAGCTCCGGTCTTTTTCATTGATAAAGTCCTTTATGTCATTGTTCACCCAACATACCCATTTTATAAAAATAACAATTTGTAATACTGTTTCAAATTAAAATTTCCAACTTCCAAACACATGACATTTGTCTGCTCTAATGCCAACTTTTTTATTAATTAGCACCATTAGAATTTTAAAGTAGTTGTTTGCTCATATGAAGAATCTCAACAGTAGATTTTATCAAAATATATTTCTTAAGAATTAGATGACTTATTGGTTCTTCCGTGGTTTACTTTTGTCGAAGGAGAGTATATATATAACTATATACTTGTACGTGATATCACTCTAGTTAGATTTTAAATTAGTTTGCAATTAATGGAGTTGTCTATCAAGACATGAATTTTGTGTTAAAATAGCTTTGAATTTTACCATATGTTTAAATTGATTGGACAAAATAAACTCGAATTAGATTTGATTAATCTAACACTTATTTTTGTAAAAAAATCTAAAACTTATCTTTCTTTATGTAAACAAAATACACCCTTAAAACGTTTATATTAACGCTTCTTGTTACCCTTATTAAATTTGACCTATGCTCAACCGCTTACGGATTAACAAATTAAAAACCTAAACACTTTTGCCAAAATTAATAAACTTTATCTTATGACATGATTCTACCTACGTAGTCAAATTATAAAATCTGATTCGGTCATCACCATCCACTCAATCAAACATTGCATACAATTTTTTATTTCAAAATTTATTCTTTATTTTCTTGCTTCATATTATCTTGATTAAATCAAAATTCCAAAATCACATGATAATTGTCTTTTGCCCTTTCTTTCTCCCCTCAAAAATCTACACCCAATAACAGAAAACAAATAAAAAATCATCATCATCAAAAATCGAAAAAAAAAAAAAAAACAGAAATACCCATATCAAAATTCTTAGGTTAATCATAAAAAATGTCATTATAGCAAACACTATATTTCTTCTTCTTCTAATACTACCTAATTTTTACCTGTAAATTATACATACCCATCAATTTATCACTTTTTTTTTTGTGTATGAATTTACGCAAAATTTGGGTTTTATTCCTTATTCTTTAAATTTTTTTTTTGAACCAAAAAAAAAAGTTTGTTTTTTTAGTTTTTTGAATAGAGTTACAATGGTTAATTTTTGGAAGAAGTTGAAAAATCTTATGAAATTGAAGAACAAACTCAAGTCGAAGTCCAAGAAGAAGAATCGAACCCCGGTTGATATAGTTCGCCGTGCTCGAGAATTATTGATTCTTATCAATGATAATACCAATGTTGATCAAGCACCTAATTGGGTTTGTTTTTTAATTTTAATTTAATTTTTTAGCTTATTTTATGGGGTTTGATTTTTGTTGTGTTTGGAACATCAATTTGATAGTGGGGTTTTTAATGTTATGACAAATATGGGAAAAAAAAATGTGATCTTGATGAATAATGATTAGAAAAGGTTTGATTTTTATGATTCTCTATTATTAATTTTGTATAATGTGAGAAATTCTATTTGGTTTTGTGTGGTTTTTAATCTCAAAAATATGAGAAACAGAATTAAGGGAGTGAAATTTTAATTTTGATCAATTTTGGATTCTGTTGTGGGTTTTTACTCTGTTTGGAATTTAACAAATATTATTTGTATGATGAATAGATAAAGAACATAAAGTACATTATTATTAAAGTGCAGGAAATTGATGATTTAACTTATATATATATTCTTTCCGAAACTGATTTATGTGCTATTATGATTGATTTCGTCGGATTATGATTGAATTCATCGAGTTCAGTGAACTCATTGCTGATCTATGATGAATAGATAAAGAAGAACAGAAAGTACATTTTTATAAAAGTGTAGGAAACTGATGATTTAGCTTATATATACTCTTTCCAGAACTGATTTATGTGCTGTGATGATTGATTTCGTCGAATTATGATTGAATTCGTGGAGTTCAGTGAACTCATTGCTGATGTATGATGAATAGATAAAGAACAGAAAGTACATTTTTATAAAAGTGTAGGAAACTGATGATTTAACTTATATACTCTTTCCGGAACTGATTGATTTATGTGCTTTGTTGATTGGTTTCGTCGAGTTAAATGGAACTAAAAAAGAAAAGTGCAGGAAACTGATGATGTAACTTACTTCTTTCAGAACAGATTATGTGCTTTAATATATGAATAAAATTGAATCATGATTGGTTTCGTCGAATTAGGTGAACTCGGTGTGGATGTATGACGAATAGATAAAGAACATGAAGTACATTATTATAAAAGTGTAGGAAATTGATAATTTTGATTAATACTCTTTCTAGAAATGTGCTTGAATAAGACTGAATTGTGATCTGATTTCGTCTTCAGAAGGAAGAACTAGGTGAACTCATTGCGGATGTTAAATCCATCCTTTATGGCACGAGTGAAGCTGAACCCGTCCCAGAATCTTGTGCACAAGTAACACAAGAATTCTTCAGAGAAGATACCCTTCGTCTACTTATATTTTGTCTTCGGAAACTTGACTTGGAGGTGAGCTATGAAATAATAATTACTGACTGAATGGTTTTCCTATATGAATTTTGAACTTGAAATTGTTAATTTTGGCCAAAATCCTGTTTTCCTGATGTTGCTTATTATTAAAAAAAGATGATCTCTCTTAGGCCCGTAAAGATTCTACTCAAGTAGTAGCAAATCTGCAAAGACAGCAGGTTCATTCACGTCTAATTGCGTGTGATTACTTGGAAGCCAACATTGATCTTATTGATGTATTGGTATCAGGGTACGTAAAACAACGATTTTATCCTAATTTTTCCTTAATATGCTCAAGAGTTGATGAATTGCTTATGTGTTGAATTCTATCACAAGGTATGAAGACCATTTACTAGCTTTGCATTATGGTAATATGTTGAGGGAATGTATTCGCCATCAAAGCATTGCCAAGTAAGTGATCAAATATCATGTTATATAGTTCTTATTCTACGTTTTCCTGATAAAAAACAAAAATAATGTTATTATTTCATATGCTCATAGATATGTGCTTGAATCGCACTTGTGCAAGTTTTTTGATTACATACAACTTCCAGATTTTGATATTTCATCAGACGCAGCTGCAACTTTCAAGGTTTTATATCTTGTTCTGTCTGCTTATTACTCCGTATTAGCTTACTATTAAATCTTTAGTATACCAGCGTTATAAAATTTTATGAACTACAAGAATGCCTGAACGTTTAGCATGTTAGATGATCGATATGAAATTGCTCCTATCTTACAAGCTGTATGCCTTGTGGTATTTGTAGGAGCTATTAACAAGACACAAAGCCACGGTCTCAGAATTTTTGTCAAATAACTATGATTGGGTAAGTTGCACTTATATAACAACATACATTTAAGTGAACGGATAATAACATGTATTAAATTTCATCCGTGATATAGTTTTTCAGAGAATTCAACAATAAGTTGCTGCAATCCCCAATCTATATTACAAGGCGTCAATCTGTTAAGGTAAATCATTATGTTAATTTAGCAGTGATAATATATACCTATATACCCATATACCTATATAACTTTGTATTTTGTATAAAACCTCTAGCTTTTGGGAGATATATTGCTTGATCGTTCAAATTCTTCTATAATGGTGCGATATGTGAGCTCAAAAGAAAATTTGATGATTCTTATGAATCTTCTCAGGGTATGTAATTTCATTTTCATAGAATTAACTATTTTTTTCATGATTAATATCGTGATTCAAAAAATAAAATTAGTTATTAACCGAGTAATATATTGTTTTTGTATAGGAATCAAGCAAGCCCATACAAGTGGAAGCATTTCATATCTTTAAGGTATATGGAAATATATTATTTATTTAAGTTATATTACGCTTAAGAATGTAAGGCGTAATTGAGGATTGTACTGCCCTTAGTTATTACAATTAGCAAAAAAAATTAGATGTTAATTTATTATATATGACAGTTATTTGCAGCGAACAAGAACAAGCCGCCTGATATCACAACCATATTGATTGCTAATAGAAGCAAGCTTCTTCGATTATTTAGTAACTTTAAATTGGATAAAGGTAATCTTTGTTACACATTTAAGCAGTTCATATATCGTTTTCAACTTGAACTTTGAAATTGCTCATTGCATTGTTAACAGAGGATCAACAATTTGAGGCCGACAAAGCTCAAGTGGTTAAGGAGATAGCGGAATTGACACCAAGAGAGATTCGATGACAGGCTTAAGTTGAAGAAAATTCGGAATTTTGTTACTAGGTGCTTAGGTTAAAGGAAGTTGTTGCCTTCAAATTGATATTTAACTTGTATATTCTGTAAGCTATTTTTTCATCGAGGCGGATTTGTAAATAAAACATCTTTACTATGAGATTGATTTCATTTTTTTGACTATTTTATTTGATATGGATAAGCGTGTCTATTATTTGACCTAAAGTTAAGTAAGGTTAAATATGTACGTGTAACCAAAGTCGTTGGTAAGAGAACTCAATAACAAATGTTTATGGTACAGTATCTAAAATTAAATGTCAAAAAAAAAGTCAAATATTTGAATAGATGTGTCAATTTAGGGTTTGTTCTCTTACGTTGAAATTCAATTCAGTTCAGCTCGGCTCCTAATTTCCTTCTCTTATAAAATATTCAAACATGCCCTTAGAATGGTTTAATTTATTGCGATTAAAAAAGATTAATCTACAAAATCTTTCTACAAATCAAATTAAAATATTGGTGTAAATTGACTATATTGTTGAGATACTCTTTCTAATTAATTAGCAAATCAAATTTGATCATCTTTTGGATTTGTAACCTAAATTTTCTTCTGAATTAATTAGCAATCACTTCAAACTTTCAATTTTCAATTTTACTGAAGCTTCCCCTGCCTTCTCATTCAATCTACCAAGATCAATTCACGGAGTTTTACAGGTAGTTTCTTTATCCCCAACTCAAATTATTCAAAATTAATTCAATTTCTTGCTCATTTACATCACTAAATTGTGGAACTATAACTTTTCAAGTTGTAATTTTGTGTTTATCGACATTTTGGTGTATAAAGTTTTTAGCTTTGCTGTAAAAATCTCGACTTCATGGGTATTGCATACCACCTGTTTGATAAAATGACAAAATGAAACATAGTAATTTGATTTATGTACCCATTTGAGTTTTCAATGATATTTTTCTGAGATACCCAAATTGAAAAAATGTAGAATCACATTTTCATCAAAATTATTGCTTCATTTTGCTGAATAATATGATTATTGTTGGTTGTAATTTGAAAAGATAGTTCATTCTCTAACATTATGCACAACAGCACAATACCTCTATATTTAATTGGCTAAATTCATAGATTTCTAATTGTTGGCTGTAAAGAATGAAAATTATCTCTTTTTTCTTTTCTATTGTTAGTTGCTGCAATAAATTTGGGGGTGAATGAACTAAAAAAGGAGTAGAGATGGTGATGTGTTATCCTTCGACGCCTGGAAAGCTGGCAGTGACGATGGGATGTTTTCTTGGTGGTATTTCTTTATTTGTTGTTGGTATACATTATTCCTACAAGAATGTTGCTCCACAACAAGCTCGTACGAAAGCTCGAAGCGATTTTGTTAGGGAGCATCTTAGGAAGAAGCATGGCTTTGGTGAGAAGAAAAAATGAGGCAGAATGCCTTTTGCTTGATTTTCTAGCTCTGTTTTTTCCTATATAAACATGATGATTATGTTGATGAATGGTAGCTTTTCTTTTGATGCAAGAATCAAAAATCAATTTTTTGCCTTGTAATCTTTGATTGACTTTTGAGTGGAAGTTGCATTCGAATACAATATGTTAATCACTAAGCTTTCAGATTTACATACTTTTATGTTCACCGATGGATGAAAAGTGGTGTCATGGATGTTGTAGGGTTCTCACTAGTGACATGGTTTGCAGTGTTGTTTTGGTGCTATGATTGTGGTAGGGACGGGAGAAGTGGGGAGATTAGTGATGCTGTTATGAAAACATGTAACTTGCCTTCTCAAATTGGTGTGCTGAACTAAATGGTTGTTACCTTGTTGGAATTGAGTTTTCTGCAATGAGCTGCACAAGCAAAGTTTCTGCTCTTTTGGGTTGATCTCACAAGATATGTGGCTCACAGATGATTCAAAAGGGCTCATTACTAAAAGGAAATGCATCAACAATGAAAGATTACTCTCTGCTGAAGTGTGTACATTATCTGCCAAAAAATTTCCTACATTTTTTAAGCTTGAGGAATATCTAAATGGCATTGGTCTTTGGGTCCAGCCAAGAGGTTAGGATCAGTAATATCTTATGCTCTTAAGGGGTTTAAGTGCTTACTTAATGCAGTTGACAGAATGGGCACATAAAGTCGTGAAGGTCCAGTTTTTATCTTCATAGAAGCTTTAAGATTGTTGAAAAAGCCATTACTTTACACACTGGTTCAGCTTTGTTTCTTTCTTGTTATATTAGAAGAAATAGAGGGCTATGTAATGGAAGAGGAAATGAAGAAGAAAGCATTGGGTAGTGCCCTTGTTTTTCTTTCCTGTATATTAGTTTAAGAAGTGGGAATACAATCGTTTATATTATTTGAATCTTGCATACTCTAATGCCTCTTGAATCATTTCTGCTTAATAATAAGAAACAGTCGTGGTTATAAGAAAAGTATATCAGACTTCTTGACATTATGACTCTCTCAAGAACTATGCCAGGGCAGAGCTGTTAATGAGGCATCGCCTGTTTTTATGCTAGATTGCTTACTTAGTACTGTCAGATATGTTTGATACTTGGAAGACTTATTTAATGTATTTTTTTTTACTCTGATAAAGATTGATGAATGAGCAACATATTATCAAAATACATTTTCAATTATGTGTTAGTTTATGGAGCATCTCTTTCAGCTTCCGTCCCCCTCAGCACCCTAAGCGACACTGCATCTGGCATCCATCTGCTAACAAATACAGATGAATGTGTTATGCATAATTTCAAATACAAAAGGTATCAGAGGAATGATAAATATTTCGTATGAATTTTAGTTCTCTAGTCCACTCACATTAGAATTGTAATTAATTTTGGAGTGTACATTATAACATTTGGATATTCCCTAACAAGTTAGTGATCATAAAAAAAGTAGCATCTTCTGTGCACAAATTCGGCCAAAATATAGGTGCTGAAGTCTGTAGGTATGATACAAAACCTCACTGATTAAACTTTCAAATCCACTCACAGACAATCACATTGGCATTTTTATAGATGTTTTTGGATGTTGTTTTGACGAATGAAAGTAGAAAATCACTGATTTACTCAGGTTATCTGTGCTTTTCATTGATTAAAACATTATTCAGGTTTTCAGTGATTGATCTGCACAGACATTCTCTCCGACTTTCTCCCACATCCATTCTTTCAGGATATGATGTAGAGTTCATTCTCTCTCTGTTTTCCCACTGTTTTTCAGAACTTCTCGCCATGTTTTCATTTTGTGATGTCCTTGTGAATCCAAAGAAGTTGAAGAAAAAGCCGGATATGAGGGTGGCTTGACGATTTTTCAGTATGGGTTTTAAACTACTACATTTCTAAGTGGCTTCTTTACAAGGGTGTTCAAGGGGGTTTACAAAAGAGAGTGTATCATCTTTGTCTTTTGTCCTTGTCTGATTCGAACCTTGTGGCAATCAAGATTGTCACACCCTATCCTGGTTGGCTACTTAGGATATGCTGGACGGGTGAGAAACTTTATATATGGTAAAGAATCAAAGGAAGCCTGAATAATCATCTGTTCAAAAGTAATCATTTTAATTAACCAGCTGATTAAATTGTCAGTTTGTTACACTATCATAATTCATGCACATAAACTTTTGATCAATGCTCCCTTGGTGTGTTCAGGGTATTCCTCTGGAGATGGACTTAGTTGGAAACGCTGATGCGAAGGTTTGGGAGCAGCTCAAGGCTCTTCTTTTTTTTTATTTACTTTGGAAGTTCAGACGAAACTTTGATGAGTTCTTACTCCTTGATCAAGACCCAAATTACACTCCAAGGTTATCAATTTTTGACTTAGGAAAGTTGAGAACTTGAGACCAGAAGACTCAGATCTCCACAACACGGTATTTTTTATTTTAATCCCTGATCTTGAGTATGTAGAAACTAGAAAGTGATTTATGTTGTCTCTATATGTTTCTCAATCTTTGCATGACAAAGTGTTTGAAGAAAAGTGCATGACATGTTTCAGTGGAATTTTTAATTATGTTTTAGCTTTTTAAGTAAAATTGAAGAAAAGTGTTTGAATATGACTTTGAAAATGTGTGTGTCTACAAAATAGAGCATTGGTGGATCAAAACAAATAATTACGCGTAGATTATTAGAAGATACAAAGGAGATGTAGAATCAGCCAAAATAAGCAAGACGTTGAAGTCTTTCTGTTGTTTACTCCTGAACTTAATGTACTCGATCAGAAAAAAAAAAAAAAAAATTCAGCCAATCTTTATATAAGCGTTGTTCATAGGGTGGAATTTTCCTTGATAGGAATCCACCTTATGACTTTATGGTTGATGTCTAATTCTACTTTCCTAAAATAGCCTGAAAGAATTTCTTTGCCAACATATATGGAAACTCAGTTGACTGACATTTGATGTTTTCTTGTACAGATTCATAGTCTGTAATTGACTGCAGAATGCAAGGTAAATCAGAGTAAAGCGTGTTCATTTAATGTCAGAAATTCTGCATAATTCTGTACATTCTTTTGCTGTAATCTTCTGTTAGTAAATGAGACTACCTCTATATAACTTGTAATACATCACTGCTGTTCTCCATATTACCCACTTTGCTCTAACAACTCCTCATTCCCATTCACTTACCCATCATAATGTTCTCGTGCTTGCGTAATGTTTCTAAGAAAAAAGAATTGGAACAGAAAGCACCAGACCATGAAGTAGGATGTTCCAGCAGTAGCTTGAGGAATTTCGATTACAAGGAGTTGAAAAAGGCAACCAAGAACTTCAGCCCGACGAGGTCCCTCACTGATGTTTCAGTGTTCAAGGGTTTTATGAACGAGGCGGTTCTTACTCCATCATCTTTTTCCACTTCCAAAATCCCTGTGGTAGTCAAGGCATATTATTGTAGTGTAGAGAGTAGTCAACATATAAGATGGCAGGTAATAACTAACATTGCATTTTGGATGAATTAGAATGCATTAGGTTCAATCTTTCTAACTGATTTATTTATCAACTTCTAAAAATTGTAGGATGAGCTGAACTTCTTGGGAAGATTGTCTCACCCGAACTTGATTCGCTTATTAGGATCAGGACATTGCTGGACAAAGGAACAATTTTTCTTAGTGTCTGAATATATGCCCAAAGGAAGCTTAAATAACCATTTGTTAAATGGTAAGCAGTTAAAATGTATAAAGTATTACTTTACTTATTAGTAAAGTTGTACATCAATTTATGTTACTCCCTCCGTTACTTTTTATTAGGCATTTTGATCAATGTCGTCTATCTAAACGAATTTTCCTCTGCAGGCAATACACTTAGCTGGGATCAGCGGATGAACATTGCTTTGGGTGTAGCTCAAGGCCTAGCGTTTTTGGATAGTAGTTGTTCTGACATACCGTGGGTGTACGACTACTTTAGGCCCTCAAGAATACTTCTTGATCAGGTACAAAATAAATATGAAGTATGATCATATAACAATTTGCTTTCTGTATTGTAGTTTATGAAGACCAATATGATACAAAGTATAAAATGTATGCAAAAAGCAAAATCTATGATATAAATATGTCAATAATGTCATAGTGTCATACATAACTCTTATGTTTTTCTCCTTGTGGATCGTTCAGGATTATAATGCAAAGATATCGGTTTTTGGCTTACCAAAATTTTCAAGGGAAGAAAACTCGAAAAAACATTTTATTTTTAAAGGTTCAGAGTATTTTTCTCCAGATTTCTTAAATAGTAAGTAGTCTTTTTTCATGTCTAAATCACGGTCTTTGCTAACCTTGTTCATTTCATATTTCCCTGTACTTTTATAATCTTATGTTATTTGTGTGTTTGTAAAACTGCAGCAGGTCATAGGACGAACCATAGCATTGTGTATAGTTTTGGAGTGATATTGTATATGATGCTAATAGGCGTTCATCATGCTAAAGATGCAAATAGGGAGGACTGGATAGAGCGGCTCTCAGTCTCCAACAAGGCAGAACTCGAGAAAGTTATTGACCCGTGTTTGAAGGGTCAATGTACACTCGAGGTAGCTTTCAAGGTGGCTCAATATACTAGCAAATGCCTTGGTGTGCGGCCTGCAAAGAGTGCAAACCGCCCGTCTATGCAGGAGGTAGCATTTGAGTTAGCTCAACTGCTGAAAACTGCACCTAATACTCATGGTGGAACGGAGTAGTAGCTTACTTTGTATGCTGTGGTTGTACATAGGCAGTTAGGCACATAGCATTATTCATCAAAATTATCCTTTAAAAAAATGTGTTAATAATTATATTTCATTGGTAGATGTCATATAACTTATTTATTTATCAATTGATTTTACTATATAAAAACATGTGTTAATATGTAACATGAGGATTTTGGTTGTTTAATTGTGCAATTTTGGGCTGATATTGAATTTTCTTTTATACACGTCCGATTTAAGGCCCTCCGTTAAGTATTACTCGTATTTGTAACTTTAGAATATTTTATATTTCACAAAAAAATTCCCTTCAAGTTGCAACTAATACTAAACGGAGGTGCGTCGTTGCATAACAAAAAAAAAAAAAAAAAAAAAAAAAAAAAAAAAAAAACCTAGCCTCCTTTTCTCTCTTCTCTCTCCTAAATCTAGTCTCCATTGTCAATTTTAAAGGGGCTTCCATCGGATTTCACCGGTGGAAAGCCCCAATCTTTATTTTTCTTTTAAGCTTTTTGTTTAGGTTACAATAATGTCTCCCTCGAAAGAAAGGGTTTATCTCCTTCGAAAGACAAGGTTTTTTCGATCTCCTTCGAAAGACAAGGTTTTTCGGACTCCTTCGAAAGACAAGGTTTTATTTGCGCTTAATTTGGTCTCCGGATGTACGGGGCTACCATTGATTATGGCTCGGATTCGGGTTACGGAATCAGCACAAAAATTTACTTTCTCACAAAATTGTGAAGCGGCGACGGATCCACTCAAAAAGTTGTATGAGACAACGAATCGAGAATATGCCGAATTGTTATATTTATGTATTTGGATTCTTAGCCCTTCCCCTTGTTTGATTTTATTAAATTCGTTTTCATTATCATTCATTGTCAATTGTAGATGTCGTAAGGCTTATATTAATGAAATTTAGTGTCCTTTAATCAGGACTTCTTTCAAAAAAATAAATAAATAAATAAATACTAAACGGAGGTACTCCGTAGTAGATATTTAGGTGGTCTTTACTCTTTAGCAGTGGGTGTGGTAATCCTGAAGGGTTGTAGGACATGGAATGTATAGGGGTTAAAGTTACTCAAAAGTCCAATCTTATCAAAATTAAATTTCCGGATTGAATGTGCTAGTTTTATATTTTAGGTTTTTAAAAACTCTTAAGATGGTAATGTAAGTAAGGCTTATGAGTTACTCCTAATATTCAAGCTTGTAAAGGTTACTTTTTGTATGGAGTATTTTTTGAAAAAGGCTCATGGAATCCATGGACAACTATAAATTAATCCGTTGTGGTTAAAAAAAAAATGCATTGAGACTATTTTTCTAAATTAAATTTTTAAATTTTTGAATCGAATACAAACTAGCAACTCCTAAAGATTGAAAAATTAGGGTTGGATTTGAGTCATTTGAAACATTCACACATCCCAACTCCCAATCAAAGACTGAACTTTCACCAAATTCACGTTCTACTGGTAGAGAGAAAAATGATAGTCTTGACCTTAACACAAAGTACCAAAAGGGAATGAAAAAATAGTTAACCAAACTATCCTAAAGGTTGTGAAGTACTGAAGTGAACAATTTCACCTCCATCTATCATACTGTGACTTGATTTAACCTGCAACTAACACGCCTTAGAGTTAAGTGTGTATAGACGCTGGAGTTGGGTGTTCAATAAAACATAGGCTAAAGTGTGTTCAAGATGCAACATTTTTCTTGTTCGTACAATCTTTCTTAATTGGAAGATCCACAAATAAATCATACTGATAAAGTAATTCGTGTATACCCTGTTATACTTGCTCGAGCTTAGGAATGAAAATGGAAGCCAAAGTTTAACTAGAGGTAACATAAATATAAAATCAGCACACTACACATTACAAAAAGTTTTGGACGAATTAACAGAGTTGAACTCAACACAACTACCATCAACCAAAAAAAGATATAACATATCTGACTATGATTCTACAGCAAAAAATTAAGCAGCAGATTTGCCCTTCTTCTTCTGGATTTTCTTCATGTAGAATTCCAGTTCTTTGCCCTCAAGTATATATCTGAAACAGACCAATTTAAAGCTTCTTTAATGAAACGCAAGCCAAACAGAATTTAGGCCAAAACATCTAAACTACTTGATTAAGTATTTTATGCTGTTCTAGACTTCTAGAGTAAAAGGAAAAGCAACTTTATCCAAATGATGATTTAAAGATGTAATTAAGCTATGATTTAGCAAATAGTAGGTCTTAGTTTTAATGGTATAAGGAAGTCCATTTTCACAAAAGAGAAATCACTTACCCATCAGCACGGCCACATTGACCAGGACGGGAAGAAATGCAGGCCAACAAACGACCACCGCCGAATTGTTCTTCAATGTGAGAGTCCAAAGTGCGGGTCTGCTGACGCTTTTCCAGCTTCCTCGCAACATGGTTACTCTTTTTGGCTTCTTCGGTGGTCTCAGCCTCCTATCAAATAGAATACAAAACATACATCAGAAACCTAGTACAACCAAGATAATAATGACATACGCGTCTACTCTTGGAACTTATCCAATTTCGCTTTTAACAAAACTTTTCAAAAACTAAGTATAAACTCATGCTCTTAACCAAGAAATTAATCAATCCACAACTCAAAACCATAATTACACCCTAAAACCCATATTTGGTCAACTCTGCCACATGAGATCTATACATTGTTTAATCAGACATAGGCTAATTAACAAGAAAACCGTAATGTGCAATGAAGGAATAGCATACATAGGCTAACATCAATCAAGGTAAACCATGATGACAAGGGTTAAAAGGAAGAGGAAGCAAATACCTCGCTTTCTTTCTTTGCAGCAACATTCTTCTTCTTGCGTCCAATCTCAACTCCGTAATGCTGGAGATACCACTGCTTAAAAGGTGCAGCATCAACCTGGACAATGGCACTCTTGACCAAAGTCTGGGTCCTAACCAACTCATTGTTGGATGCATTGTAAACGACATCCAGAAGACGAGTCTTGCGAGTCACAGCTTCACTACCCCATGAAAAGTTACCAGTATCCAACCTCAATGCACGCCACTTGACATTACCACCACGAACCCTAACCCTCCTAACTGTCTTGTTGCTAGAAAGCTTGGTATTAGCTGGCTGTCTCCCAAGCTCGTACCTTTATATCATCAAAATAGCAAATTAATCATCGGTACAAAGCACACAAGGGATGCAACAGGAGAGCACTGATTAAGGTGTAGACTTTATGCAGACAAGGGTAGAGTCAAAGAGGCAAAGGTAGATAGATATATGCATGTAATGAATCAGCTAGCCCAGCACTATGATCCACGGGAAAATGAACATAAATAATAATGCAAAGTAATAAGAAACGTGTATCATTCAAGTAGATAAAGTAACTCATGTAAGAACAGGGACAGGACAGGACCAATCCATTATTGCACCAAATTTTACAAATTTAATTTTAGTTTTTAAATAAAAAAACAACTTTTTTAAAGGTGGTTCTTGAAAATGTACCAATTAGAGAGGATCCAAATTGAAGAAAATAGTTCAAATTTGGACAATAAAACTCTCATAATCTTGGGAGTTTTTATGTGCCTCCAGAACAAAGCATACAAGAAATCGATCAGAAGATCTCACGCCTTATAGCCGAAAGATGAGGCAGTATCTAAATATTCTAGTGAAACATTGACATAAAAAAAATAACCAATGTAAAGTTTAATTTGAATGCTAGGGTAACTTTATGGTACGCAAAGAGAAACATATGTATGCCAAAGTATCACTTGATTTCCTCAATATATAAGGAGAACATAAAAAAGATAACAATAGCACAGTGATGTAGCTTACAGATATGTTGCGTGCCGGTGGAGTTACTAACCAGCACAGGACCGTCTAATAAGCACAAACGAATCACTAATTTTTCAAAATACATAACTAAAGAGCACACACAATTACTAAAATCAATGGTAAAACGACTCACGGTGAGAGAACGATGAACAATATGTATGCCAAAGCATCAATATTTCCCCAAAAATGCAAGGAAAACTTAAAATTGATGACAATAGCACATTAATGTAGCTTATGGAATATGTTGCGTGCAGATGTAGTTGCTTATCAGCACAGGACCGTCTCATAAGCACAACAAAATTTATGAAATTAAAATCAAACAATTGATCATGCTCAAACATTATTATAAATCATGAAATAACACAAATTAACATGCTCTTATGTACAAAAATCAACTAAAAGAATGAAATTTTTAATCATATAATATCATTTCATCACATAAATCTGACATCAAAAATTATACAAACATAATCAAAATGCAAATCAAATCCTCAAATAAAAACCTAAAGATCGAAAAACAAAAATTATATAAAAAAGAGGAGAAATTACTTTCGCTTCTTCCTCCAGGCCTTCTTCTTGCCACCAGTGGCACGCCTCTTGTGCATGGAATCACGAGAAATACCTGATAAACAAAATCAATCCCTAAAATTAGTAAAATCAACAACACATTCAGAAATCAAACCCTAAAATCAGAAAAAACAACAGCAAAAAGACATTCAGGAATTCAGAATGCGACGCCATTGAAGATTAGCTTGAAGTAAAACAAATAAAGATCTGATGAATTGAACAGGTTGAAAATGGAGGAGAGTGAAAATACCCATTTTTGCAGAATTGGAGGAACTAGAGACTAGGGTTTCTGAGAGGTTCGAGTATGAATATGAGGGAAGGGACTAAGGGAGGCAGTGAGGTGATGAAGAAGAAGAAATGGAGTGAGATAAACCCTAATTATTTCGTCAAATGGGCTTTATTTGGGCTTTTTTTTTAGTTTCAATGTATTTAATGGGCTTTGTAAATGATCTGTGAAGAAATAATTTGACCCGAATTCCTTACCAAAATTTTGGGTTTTGAAAATTTTGAGGTTTAAATGGGTTTAAGATTTTTTTTATTTTTTATTTTTAGTTTATAAGAACACAATTAGGGGTGAGCATGGGACAGGTACTCGTACCGTTAGTACTAACGGTTCGGGTATCCGATAACCAAAACCACTAAAAGTGATACCCATAACCGGAACCGATAAGTTCGGGTATCCGGAATTTCGGATCGGTTATCGGGTACCCAATAAGATATCCAATAATGATAATTAAACTTAATTATGTAGTTATTATGATATAATTTAGGAAAAATACAGTTTAATAATCCCAACTATGGGCGATTTACCTACAATAATCCCACTATCGTTTATTCTACAATAATCCCAACTATTAGGTGAGTTTTCCTCCAGCAGTCTCAATAACTGGTTACCTGCTGAAAGGGTAATTTTTTTTTTTTTTGTTTCTTAAATGACACATGTCAGTACATGAGTGGCCTAATATTACAATAAAAATAAAAATAAAAAAAAGGAAAAAAAAAAAACCATCCCAGCCACCCCTAGCCCCCCGGAAACCGCCACCAACTCTTAGCCAAACCTCCAGACCACCGGAAAATGGTCGGCGAACCCGCAGACCACCGGAAAACAGCTGGCGGGCCCTCCTAATCCCCAACAGCACCAACCACGATCCACCCCAACCCCAATTGCTCCTCCCGCATGGCTAGCGACGCCAACTACTCCGATCCTCCCCCACGGCCAGCAACGCCTACGCAACCACGACCCCTTCTCACCACCTACTCGCTGCCAGATCGGCACCAGCTTGCCGAAACTACAGCCGCGCAAACCCAGATCGACAGTCGCAACCAAATCCACCTCCTCTAATCAAAACCACTGCGCTATCCTTCGCCTCCAAAATTGACCTTAATAGCCACCTTGTCCACCCCAAACGCCACCTCCACCTCTTGCCTCAAGCCCCAAACACCACCTTCTTCGATTTCAGACGAATTTGGGGGGCTTTTACAAGCATTTATGTCAGTTATTTTGGTGCGATTTGGGGCTTCTGGTGGTTTCTCGGGCAAGGGTTATGTGTTTTGGCCGGTTTCGGGGGTGCGGCTGGTCGTGGGAGTCGTTTTCGACTTGGGTGGCTGGTGAAGGTGGTGTTTTGAGGTTGTGGCAGGAGGTGGAGGTGGTGGTTATGGCTGGCATGGTGGCTGCAAGAATTTCTTTTTTGGTTTTTTTTTGTTTTTTTTTTAATTTTTTATTTTGGAACCACTCACACGCTGACACGTGTCAAACAACCTACAATAACAGGTTATTGACTTAAGTTGACCGGTTTGGGACTGCTGGAGGAAAACTCACCTAATAGTTGGGATTATTGTAGGATAAACGATAATTGGGATTATTGTAGGTAAATCGCCCATAGTTGGGATTATTAAAGTGTATTTTTCCTATAATTTACAACTAATTAACAACAATACCATATGATCTTGACCAAATTATTAATAATATTACTAATCATTGATATTATAAAGTGATTATGAAGTAAAGTAAAAGTTTAGATTTATATTAATAGATTTTAGTAGGGAAAAAAAGCAAAAAAAATGCTTATCGGATCGGATCAGGTAACCGTTAATTTTAAAATGATACCCATACCCGATAATAAATTATCGGAACGGGTACCTGAACCGTTATCTTATGGCTATCGGATCGGGTACCCTAATTTTCGGAATAGTTACAGATCGGTTTTTCGGATTTTCGGTTTTTCGGGTAGTTTTGCTCGGCCCTAAACACAAATGGGTTTAAGATTATCGATTTGATTATAGTGTGTTTCATAATTTGATTATTGGGAAAATCTATAGGAAAATAAAACCGAGGCAGGAATGTTGGGTCGTTTCATAATTTGATTATTGGGAAAATCTGTAGGAAAATAAAACCGAGGCAGGAATGTTGGGTCGTTTCATAATTTGATTATTGGGAAAATCTATAGGAAAATAAAACCGAGGCAGGAATGTTGGGTTGTAAACCCATCAACACTCCAATGGAGCAGAATCATCGTCTTGCACGTGCTTCTGGTGAGTCGTTCGCTCAATCGCAACAGTATCGTCGTTTGGTTGGACGATTGGTATATTTGTCAATTACTCGACCAGAGTTGAGTTATTTAGTGCATGTTTTGGCACAATTTTTGAGTTTTTCACAGTTTTCTCTTGCGTTACCTTAAGGATAGTCCGGGACAAGGTATTTTGTTGCGACCTATGAAGGATTTACGCTTGACGGTGTTTTGTGACAATGATTGGGCGGCATGTCCGTTGAATCGGCGTTCCTTGACAGGTTATTTTGTGTTCCTAGGTCATTCCCCTGTTTCTTGGAAGACTAAGAAACAGCCTACCGTATACACATCCTCGGCAGAAGCTGAATAACTATCTATGGCTTTCACTACGCGTGAGTTGAAGGTTGAAGCAGTTGTTGTTTGTTCTTGGTGTCAATCATTTAAAGTCTATGTAGTTGTTTTGTGATAGTCAGTCGGTCTTGCATACAGCTAAAAATCCAGTGTTCCATGAGCGTACGAAGCATATTGAGGTAGATTGTCATTTTGTTCGTGATGAATTGTTAAACGGTAATATTACTACCTCATATGTTGGTTGGAAGATATTCTCACCAAGTCTCTTGGACGTCAGCAATTTGGTTTTTTGTTATGCAAGTTGGGCATTCGCGATTTGCATGCTGCAACTTGAGGGGGAGTAATAGAGTCGGTTTGGTTATATTTGTTAATATTGTATTTATGTTAAGTTTATCTTGTTAGGAGTTTTAAGCAAGTTAGTTTTCTTATTGTATTGTGTATATATATGTGATTATTATCATGCAAAGGTTAAGCCAATTTCTCCACAATATTCTTCAGTTAAACAAACCACAACTACAATTAATATTAGATTAAATAAATATTAGGATAATATACACTAAATACCTTTAACATTGGTAGTTATACTGATCCTAAAATACCTCTCATACTAATATTGTGTTTGCCTCTGGGTCACTTCCTCCCTCACTACTATAGCTTTATATCTCCTACTCTTTGAGATGCTTGCTGCTCTACTTCTTCCGCTAGTATCTCTCTCTTTATTCTTCTTGCATAAACTCACGACATATATATGTATATACTAACAAACAAAGCTAGCTTTTTCTTCGAGCTTGCCACCTACCTACATGCATCATTACATTTACCCCAAAACCAATACCTATAGGCTATAGCATAGCATAAGTAGACTTTAGATTAGACATATGACACCATCACAATCATTTCACTAACTTGAACTTTCAGATTCACTTATGACATCATCTTTTCTTTTACTATATAATTATTAGGAAATTTTCACATTTGCTACCACTAAAAACACCACGCTTCACATTTGCTACTTGTTAATTTTTTTTTTTTTATTTTACTATCACCTAAAACAGAGTTTGTTAAAAATCACTACCACATGCCTTATTTTGTTACTATTTCCGTTAGTGGGCCCACTCCATCGTTTAGCCACCCCTCCAACCACCTTGCAGCCACCCCTCCTCCTCACTGCCACCCCTCACCTCCCCCCTCCCCCTGCCGGCGCCGCTGCGCAAACCCACCCCCTCCCTTTCCCCCACCCTATGCGCATCCAATCCCCCTTTCCCTTTCCCCGTTCTTGAGCTCCGACCCCCACCTCGAACGAAAACCACCCCCTTTCCCCTTCCCTCCACCGGAAATCGGCCCTCCTCCCCTGATTTCCCCACCGAAATCGACCCCCTCCCCTTCCCCTACCCTTTTCGGCCGTCCCTAACCCTAAACCACAACCCCAAAACCACCCTAAACGAATTTTAGGGTTTCGGTTGTGGTTGTTTTGGGGTGGTGGTTTTGGGTTAGGGATGGCCGAAAAGGGTAGGGGAAGGGGAGGGGGGTCGATTTCGGTTGGGGAATCAGGGGAGGGGGGCCGATTTCCGGTGGAGGGAAGGGGAAAGGGGGTTACGGTGGTGTTGGTATGGGTTTTGGGGGTTAGGTGGCGGTGGTGGTCTGGGTTTGGGGGTGTCGGCTTTGCAATTTTGGGTGGGGAAAAGGGAGGGGGGTGAGGTACCGGCGCCGGCCGAATCTTTAGGCGCCGGCCGCCGGAAGAGGGGAGGGGGAGGTGATAAGTCTATTTTATATATATTTTTATTCCCGATCCCATGGTCATATTTGTGCTTATTTGAGCTCTACGGAGCTATTTTTATTACTAATATACGTTTTCTAGTGTTTTTGTAGAGTTGGTATTATTTTGTAGGAATTTACAGATTTATGATAATTCCCGAGCTTATTTAAGCCACTGCAAAAATATTAGAGACGGAGCGTATTTTATGACCGTATATTTAAAGCCCAAGATCGAGTTAAAGGAATTTAATTCGGTGATTAAGGGCTCAATTAGTAAAGAAGTCCAATTATAAGCTACTATTACGGACCAAGTAATGAAGCCACAAAACACATGACAAACAATAAAGGTCCAAGAGTAAACAAGAAGGTCCAAGGAATAAGCCCATATAATATCACATCAGGTCTGCTGGACATAAAATGGCGGGCCCGATCGGGCGGCCCAATGACCGATCGGGCGAGTGTGTTGCGGTTTTCTTGCTCAAGTCGGTTTGCTACAGCTTTGGGCCCATTGATAATATCCATCTTTCACGGTTAAAGGAGAGGAGCATGCTTGTGGGCTATTTTTATTTGGGCTTGCTAAGTTTGGGTTTTGTTTGCTGATGATGTCGGTGTAATAGTAGTAGTTGATTGGGAATCAAATTGCTTTTCCTTTCTTTATAAAAGGAGGGAGTTACGTAGGTTTTTGGCTAGCTTTTATTTAGGAGTTTTCTTAGTTTTTAGTCTTAGTCTTAATTTTAGTTTTTAAGTTAGTTTTTTTTTATTTTTCTCTTTCTAACTTTTCTCTCTCCTTTTAGTTAAACTCTTAGTATTACTTTTTTATGGGGATCCATAAATAATATGAAGGGGTAATTTATTGTTGTTAATTATCAATGTTAGATTAATTTCCTATTGATTGATTTAATGCTCTGTGACTAGATTAGGCCTATCTTTTATGCATGAGTTTGACAATATTGATTCAAGATTCGAGAGATGAGAATTAATGTTTAGGTCTAGTTTCAATAGGCAGATTAATTTATAAATGGTTTAGTCGAGATTCGTGAGATGAGGTTTAATACCGATAGATTAATGTTGTGATTGTAATAAGTAGCGAGAGCCCTTTACAATCTGATTAATTGATGCATTGATGATTGACTACTATTGATTATTGGTATTGCAAGCTAATTTCTTATTGGATTGTTTTAATGTTTTACAATTGCGGCTTGTAAAAGTGTAGCAATATTAAATTGATGAATCGAGCAGATGTTAATTTGATATTAAAGACTATTTTCAATGAGAACTTAGATCTAGTAAATTGCGAGAGCCTGTTAGATCTATGTTGATTAATAAATTGCGAGAGCCTGTTAATCATGTTATTTATGCAATGTTAATGATTGATTACCCTATTTTACCCCGGAGTATTGTTTATTGGTGAACCTATGCCCTAGATCCTTTTATATATCATTTTCTCCCTTTTCCTACTCTCTTTAGTTTAGCTTCTTATTCAACTATAAATATTGGTTACTTGAATAGTTTAGATTATAATAATAAATTAGGAGTAAAAAGACTAGTTTCCCTGTGGAGATCGACCCTACTTCCCTATCTACCTTAGTTAGTGATTTAGGTAATTATTTTTAATTAGGGGATACGACTTTACCCTGTCAGGAGGGTGGCAGATTAGGGGAGGGAGAGGGTGGCAGATTAGGGGAGGGGTTAGGCGGGGTTGCTGGTTTTTTTATTTTTTTTTTAATTTTTTTTTTAATAAACTTAACGGAAATCCTAACGGATTCCGTTAAGTGGTAGTGATTTTTAACAAAATCTGATTTAGGTGGTAGCAAAGTAAAAAAAAAAATTAAATAGGTAGCAAATCTGAAGCGAGGTGTTTTAGGTGGTAGCAAATGTGAAAATTTCCTAATTATTATTACTATTTGGGGAGATTAACACAAGAAATCCTTATATCAAATACACATTTCAAGTATACTAGTTTTCTTCTCGTCCAAAACTCGTCCTTTTACACTAAATGCACACGTCTAGGGGTGTACATTAACAAGACTAGACCTGAAAACTGATCGGAACCGGACCTGTTCCCCGGACCTGACCCGGAAATGTAGATTCAGGTCCGGTCCCGGTCCTTGAAATTTAAGGATTCCGATCAGGTCTAAAACCGTGGTTTTCAGGTCCGAACCTGAAACCCGGTCAAATGGTGTTTTTATGAATAAATAAATAAATAAAAAGCTTTTTTTTCAAAACAAGAATCAGTATCATTTCTAACCCTACACACGGTCCTCAAAAAATAGATATTCAGGTTTCGGTCTCGGTCCCAACAGGTCCGGTCCAGGTCCGGTCCGATTTTGAACCGGTGTACAGCTGAAACTTGAACGGAGGGCACGTCGATGGCACGGATGAAACTTGAACACTTAGAGTAGTGGCAAGAAACAATTTTGAACTTAATTTGAACTACACGATTCTTGCTTCATGAATATTGTTAAGGAACAAGATGAAATACTAAAACAAGACTCATTTTTACCAAACGATCTGTTTAAAACAACAGGTCTCTTTGACTTAATTTTATGAAGAGAATATTTTTATAATATGCTTTGATTATATAATTGAAGTGCTTGAAATAAGGGGTTGGACTGTTAAAGTCAGGTGGGGCTGGACAAGAAACAATAGAAGGAAATTCAATAGAAAGCCACCTTTAACGGCTAGTTTTGTGAGTGTCCCTTCCCGCCTTGCAGTGCCGGAGTGGCGTGTCGTATGTGTTGTGCCGTGTCGAATCTAGTTGAAAAAATGGGACATGTTAATATGATCAGTTCATGGGGTTCCCATGTTTCAATTGCTCAAAATTCTGACAAGTTTATTCCAAAGTCGCAATCTTTGAAACAAAGTAGAGAAACCCTTTTAATTAATTTCAATTCAGCAAGAAGATCAAGGAAGTTTCAGAAGATTGGAGTTGGGATTCCCAGCTGCTGCAAAAGAAGTGAATTGGTTGATTTTGAAGAGAGAACAAGCGCAAATGAGGTATTGGGATGCCCAAATTTCACTTAATTTAGCTCAATTGGTTTGATTTATTCTTAATTATATGGATTTAATCTTTTTAATTGGGTAAATTTTGGAAAATTGAAAGTTTTGCTGGATATGTTGCTTCAGTATAACTGATGGGTTTGATTGATGTTGTTAATTTCTTAGTTCAATTGATTTATGAGTCTAAATTTGAGTATGAATCTGTATTGAATCATCTGGATTTCAGAAAATCAGGTTTACTTCGTTCCTGCTGAGCTTCAATCAGAAAATTTTCTAATTTTTGTTAATTAGAGCCAAAATTATGATTAAGATAGTTAGTACATTTGTAAATTACCTGCAATCAATCATTCAATCACTTACAGGATTATAAACTCATTAAAATTTATGTATAAGCCCCATCATGGCTTCCTTCTTAGGAAGTATTGTGTTTTATGTAGCTGAAAATCTACATATGACATGGAATATTGTGTTTCATGAGTGCTTCTTTCTTTGCAATGGGGATAGTCTCCTTTCCATTTCCGAATTCGCTTCGTAGTTATAGAATTAGATTTAGATTTGATCAAGTCCAACATTGCAAACTGAGTTTGAGACTTTGAGTTAACTACACCACAGTGCACTTGCTTCTTGGTTTGAGAAATTACATTGCATACCTCTATACTTTTTCTCGGAAACTCGCTTTGGAAATATAGCATTGAGAAGTTGAGTAGTAGCACCTTAAGGACTGCTTAACATAGACCATAAGTGTACTTTCTTCTTGGTTAGAGAAATCACATTGCATACCTTTATATCTTTTCCCGGAAACTCAATTCAAATAGAATTGAGAAGCTGAGAAATAGAAGCATAATCTAGCTCAACTGCTCAACATCATTAACTGGAGATTCAACTGGTTGCGCTAGCATGAGTCGGTAAACAAGGGTGATTCTGTATTCCCATGGAAATGTGAAACTCCTTATCCAACATTTGCTGCATGCCTTTATGTTTAGGCTATGATGTCTAGTTTATGAAGGCTTCATTTTATCCACTTTCCTTCAATTAATCTTCAGGTTTGGAGCACAGGATAGGATAGCTAACCAAGCAAATAATCAGCTCTAGTTTTTGCTATAATTGAATCTTTAGAAGGGTTGTCTTACGTAGCTGATAATCCATATTAGACACGGATATCATGAGTGCATCTCTTTTCAGCATTAAAAAGAGAACTATCTTTAACCCAAATTAGCAAACTAGATAGGTAGAATGTATTAAAAACCTTGAGTCTTGGAACAGCATAATATAACTTGGGATGTTTTTCTTAAAAAGATTATATGATTCTCAGAGCTGTTTAAGTTAAATATGAGCCCTTAAGAATATCAGAGACAGAGCTTGGTACTTAGATAGTTGAAACTTGAGAACATGGAGATTCCATTTTTGGAATGACGTATTAAGCACTCTTAATCAATGATTCACCTGCAAGTGTGGAAAATTTTGTTACAGATAGAAACATTCTTCTAGCTACTGCTGCTGTATACATAATATAACTTGTTTCTTGTATGCAACAACAGGAAATTAGGCTGGTTGCTCTAAAGACTATATCTATTGTCTCCTCATTCATATACTCTTGGAGAAGTTTAGCTCTAAAGTGGAGTAAAAATTAGGCTACTTTAAAATTGATCTCTAATCAACATAAATTCCATACCTGCATTGAGAAGTAAGAACAATTAGTCTGATTTTTGCTAAAAGCTCCTAGTTTTTAAGGTTACATCTCTTATTCTTCCACTTACCTTCCAAGCTAACAAACAGCACCACCTGACACAGAAGTAGCTGACATGCTGATTTTTTTTTCATAAACCAACTTCTCACAATACTTTTTCTGCTCTGTCATACCTCATAATCTCCCTTCCCTCATCTCTGCAAAAAGAGTCGTGGACTCATGGGCCTTTTCCCTAACCCCCCCCCCTTTTCTCAAAAATTGCTTTAGTTTCTTTTCGCTTTTCCCTGAGGTCCTATACTATATCATTACTGTCCAGTTGGTTTTTGTAGCAATGACTTTGTGGTGTCAAGTACACACATGCAAGACTCCAAAAGACACTACAAGATAGTGGGAAGGGACTTGTTGGAGGAAAGGGCACCTGAATGTTGACATTGTTAATGTGTTCATTTAAATCACAGAGAACTACTTAAATTTGTGACAGTTTGCTTGCTCTGAGACTTGCTGCATCACAATCATCTAGCATCAGTTTATGCTCACTGATACAATGTTTAATTTTTTTGTTGTGAAGGTCAAAAAGGAGATTATACAGTGTTACGAACTAATTCACAGGCTAGGGAGGGGAGTTATCTATATTGGCTCTGCAAGACCAGGAGCAAATCATCCACATTATAGCCAATCACTTGAGCTTAGTAGAGAGGCGAGTTACTCCCACATTTTATCTTTTACTCTTCTTAACCAAGTCATTCATTTTTCTGATATTGTGCACATTATGCTCAAAATCTGATTACACACATGCTGTAGTACATCTTGTATCAGTGTTTTTTTTTTTTTTTTTTTTTTTTTTTCCTGATGAAAGAGAGAATTAAGAATTCTTATACATCTTCACCATTTTTCTCCTGCAGATTGCAAATCTATTGAATTGCACTACATGGACAGGAGCTGGTCCAGGACTAATGGATGCAGCTATTGAAGGTGCGCTGCAAGCTGGGAAGCCTGTTGGTGGATTTAAAATCGAGAAAGAAGCTGGTCAATGGTCTTCAACAGGCTCTCATCCTTACCTTCCTGCTGATACATATCTTACTTGCAGGTACCCCCATAGTTTGTTTTGCCCTTCCTCTTCTCCTGCCTCTATGGTGACTCAAAAGTTTTTTTCAATTCCTTAGCATTGCAAACTTCAAAACTTTTCGTACTACCCTTCACTTGTTGACTTATTGTTTCTTCATACCGAGTCATAGCTTAATTTTATTTCCCCTTCCCTTTCCTTTTCCTTCTTTTGAGTAATAGCCAATAATCATGGTTTTCATATCAAAACTGCATTTATTTATTTAAATTGCATTTCAGTATGGATATTTAAATCAAAACCCATATATATGTGGACTTACATCCAGAGGAACATAGGTGATCTTTTTTACTAACGCCTTTAAGGTAATCTCACTCACTCATCCATCTTATTATATGTATAGGTTTTTCTCAGCTAGGAAACATGGTTTTGTGGATGCTGCAGTAAGAAATAGTCCCCAAGACCGAACAGCTGTAATTGCTCTTCCTGGTGGGATTGGAACTCTTGATGAGATGTTTGAGATCCTAGCGCTTATTCAGCTGCAGCGAATAGGATCTCAACTTCCAGTTCCATTCCTACTCATGAATTATGATTCATACTATTCTAAGCTCCTGGATTTCTTCAATGACTGTGAACACTGGGGAAATCTCGCAAAGGGAGAGGTTGAATCACTTTGGAAAGTGTGTAGTAACAATGAAGAAGCTCTAACCTATTTAGCAAGATTCTACAGTCTTCCTCTCATCAATGAAGAGTTAAAGAACACGAAACAATAGTTCCTTTAGACATGTAACTTGTTGAAGATTATTTGATCAAAATAAATTTGTAGCATTTGGCTTAAATTTTGTGATGTTTACCCAAAACAGGAAGAATTTAATCTTGTTCATGTCATGTTGCGCAACCTTAAATTTTAGTGACGGTGTGACTCCCTTTTTGTCGATTTTTCTTGAAAAACTTTCAGGGATCTAAACTCTAAATCATTACAAGCAAAGCAACTAGCAATTCCACACCAAGATCAAGAACAAATTAAACTAATTGGGGTCTTCATTCAATACATCTTTGAATCAAAATATTCCAAAATCTTTATAGAAAAACTTAAAGAGATGATTGTATTTACAACTTTTTGAGTTTCTAATCAAGAAAAACTAACAAGTTAAGAGAATCTAACAAAACACCTAATCAATTGAATCACACTCAAGGAAAACAAAAACCAATTTCCCCAAGTCATGGAAATATACAAAGCTTTCGAATCAAGTGGAACAACCCCTTCTTGTGATGATTCTGTTTTACACATTGCTGCAACATCTTCGCATTCCCTTCATTATCATCCTGAAATCCTTCAAACTTCTCCAAAACATTCACAATCTCCGAAAACTCAGGCCTCTTCTTAGGATTCTTGCTCCAACACCGTTCGATCAGCAGCCTCATAAACTCAGGACAGTCCTTAGAAATCTCAGGCCTCAAGTTCTTGTTAGCAACGCCATAAGCAACTTGAACCGGACTCAAATTACCAAAAGGAGTACTCCCTGAAACCATCTCATTCAACAACAACCCGAAACTATACACATCAACCTTCCTGCAGTACTTTTTTCGTGTGATCATCTCCGGTGCCATCCATCGAAAAGTCCCTACATCTTTGTAATCACACCCTTTTGCCTCACAGGAAACACCAAGATCTGCAATCTTCAGACGAAAACCCTGATCAATCAGGATGTTCTCAGGCTTTATATCGCGATGTATAATCCCTTGAGAGTGCACATACTCCATCCCTCTAGCAATCTCTAACGCAATCACAACAACTTTCTCGAAAGGAAGCATAATTTTACTCCTTTCGAACCTGTTCAAGTACGCCCTCAGAGAACCCTCTGACATAAACTCTGTCAAAATACAGTAAACTGATGTCTGCCTGCAGGCTGCAACAATTTCCACCACATTCGGGTGTCGAAGCCGTAACAGTATCTTCCTCTCCTGATCAAACTGTTTCCTCAATCGATCTGCGTGTAACTCACGATCTTCTCGTTCATCATCGATCTCCTTGAATACCTTAACAGCCACGTCTCTGTCGCGGTATATACCGTAATATATACTGCTTTCTGCACCTTGAGCCAGTTTTTTAACATACTGTAACTGCGAGAAATCCAAATCTCCTTCCTCCTCCATGATCCGAAACATGACTAACGAACGTTCACTCCGTTAAAATAGATCGAATCCTCGAAACGACACACGTAGAAAAACTTGTTACAAAGGAAAACATTGATTGCATTGATCATGATAAAACACATTGTTTAAGCTTGGATCATACAATAATGTTGGCGCCATGATCTTCAATACGAATACGATTTAAACGAACCAAATCTGTGATCAACCCAACACCGTTCTCGGCCTTTGGCCTTCGACAACCAATTATAAGACGGTCTTACACAAATGTTTTTCGAAAAAAAAAAAAAATTTAGAGAGGGGGAGCAATGAAAAATTTTGTGGGATGAAAAAAACTTGAGAGATTAGGGTTCTTAGAATATGAAAAAGGGATCCAAATTATGCTGTTATGTAGGAGAATTCGATTAGTTTTTTCTTAACAACTTTTAGTTTAAAATAAAATAGAATTTGATGAGAGAAAATTATGATTTTTTTTTAGGAGATTGATTATTTATTTTGCCCATAATTTACTTGTTATATACATATTCATTTATGGGAAGTTTATGCCGCCAATCTAATACGTTTACTTCAAGTAATTCCTCCGTGTTTTTTTCAAATTTTTTTTTTTTAATTTTTTTTTTTAATTGGATTTTTTTTATTTATTAGTAAATATTTTTTTTTGAAAGGGTTCATTTGGATATTTTAATTGCAAATTGCAACAGATAATTAAATATAGGATTAGCTTTTATTTTTTGAATAAAATAGGGAGGGGTAGTTTCATATATAGGATTAGCTATATACAAATGAAGATATAGAAACAAATTGAATTTTAATCTTCTCTTTTTTAATATATGAACATTATCCTTAAAAGATCGTTCACAATTAAACAAACTGAAATTTTTATCAAAAATAATCCATATAGACAGTATTATGATAAACCATTAAGTTATAGAGATTGTTTTCTATCATTATAGCAATTATCTCTATATCTTGTTTTTTTATAAAATAAAAAAAAAAAACAAATTCATAATAGTATAATAGGTACTTCCTCCGTTACATATTACTCGCAACAAAGGGGTATTATTTGTGAAACATAAATTATTCCTTTGTTGCGAGTAATATGTAACGAAGGGAGTAAATTGTTTACTAAAGAGAAAGAGGAGAAAGTTCTTAAAATAAATTTAGGCATGACCCATTATTCAAGCATTATTAGTAGAGAACGAGTCAATGAAAAACCTTTAGAAAGCTGATGAGTTGAAGGTAGAATTAAACGGTTTTTCATGTCTTTAAAAAACTGAAAGTTACTTATAACTAAAGGGTAATGTTATATGTAGCTTTAAGGGCTATATATAAGCATTAAATATACTCTTGGAAATTGTATAAATTAGGAATTCATGACCAAAACACGCGTAAATCAGGGCTATATATAAGCATTAAATATACTCTTGGAAATTGTATAAATTAGGAATTCATGACCAAAACACGCGTAAATCAGTGTTATTAGTGTTTATATTTTGATGATTTCTTAACTTTTTATGATTTTTAAGTGTAAATAACAAAGCCTTAATTATTGATTAAATACATCCTCAAAACATTTTCACAAGTGCAATCTTTCTTAAATTTTATTCCTGCCTTTCTTTTTCTATGAAACTTATCACCCACAAAAAAATATGGAGAATTACCATTACTACACGCGCTTATAATATACGGAGTACTCCATACAAGAAATTGAGAGTACGGAGTAATAATTCAAGGTCACAAACTCCCAATCATCATAGGAAAATATATATATATTTTTTTTTTTGTTTTGAGAAACCAATTTAATTCCAATTTAAATCGCAATTGTATGCTTAATTGATCATAAAGATAACCAAGATCAATTTGTTATAGATGATAATACTAAAAAATTGGTAGGATCTTAATCTGAGCTCAAAACAAAATCATTCCTCATTTGCAACTTCATTAAAATGATTAGCTAACATCCTTCGTAACAAAAACAATGAAATCCCTAAGCAACTCATGGGCCAAAAAGAGTAAAGAAATAAGCTAACTACATCTAAAGCGATGGGTAAGAAAAAGAGGTTGCGAAACATGATCCTAATATACATATATAGAAGAGCTTTGTAATAGCATAGGGAAGACGTAGGCAACATAAGCATCTCCGGACGATTATGCTGCAAAAGGGTGGTTGCGATTCTTTGATTTTCTGAGTGATTGACAGAAGGACAAGAATGGACCCTTTAGTTCATCAGACAGGGGAAACGCCAAAGGAGGAACTGCAGTCGGGCAACTATAGTTTTCTTGGGATTTGTAGGGTTGTGCCATAGCTGATTGCTTTTTGTTTAAGAATTCCATGGCGAAGGCAAATCCACCAAAATAAACGCAGCTCTGCAAGAGAGCTCCAGGAGCGCCTGACACACAGAATACAAAATTGAAATAAATCAATGATTGTAAGTCTAATTCGAAGCAGTATATTGCACACAGATCTTTATCCTAGTTATGAGCCGCTACATCAGTATTCAGTCCAACAGATGAACATTTGTTTTAGAATTAGTAAGCTTTTCCTTGCTAATTTTCCTCTCGAGCTAGGCTTAACCCCCACCCACTTTATCCTCTCTACTCTCCTTAAACCTTCAACAAAAAAGTAAAACAAACTTAATTGAGGAATGAAGTATGATTCAGATAAACCATATCAAACATAATGCCCCTTTCAGGAACATGATTCATTTACTATACCATTTGTCCTATAGGTAAACATGATGAGATATGCTATAATTTAGGCACCACAATATTCTATGACTATCTAAATCAAATAAGCGGAAGACAGCATGTATATTGTTAACAAACACAGTAGCATTTATATGGCAATCTAACAAAGGAAAGTGATAAAAGATATCAGGCTTAGTGGCTAACAAACATCATGATACCTTATAACTGAACATGAGATAGTAGAGAACATCTGCCGGAAGAAAACAAAAAAAAAGAAAGTATAAAACTACCTAGCCTCCATAGAGCAACTAGTACATTAATGGAGCAATCTATTAACAGACAACTCATCTGGAAGCACAGGATATACACCCAACCAAACACAATCACTTATAATACAAGCATACAAAATCACTCCACATTCAAAACAAGGGGTAATTCATACTACGAACCTGGATAAGTTAGAGCAAGACCAGTGCAGCAGCCAGCCACTCCGGCATTAATGACTTTTAAAACAGAGGCAAACAAATCAATATGTTAGGAACATTACTACAACACAGGTAATATCAGGAATAACAATATTCAAGATGCCGTACCATCATCCTTCTTTCTTAGCCTCCTTAACATGCATACCACCAAACTATGAATCCCAGAGAGTACTGCAAATGTCTTTTGAAAAGAATATATGGGGCAAATAGCTCAATAAGGACATTATAAAATAATTCTTAAGTATTAAAAAGTACGGAAAAAGGATGAATTCACAAGTATTACTCCCTCTGTTCCAAAAAAAGGGTCCTAGTTCATTTTTCAAAAATACTAAGGAGCATTAAAAAATGGATTATTTTAAAGGTGTGTATTAGAATATAAAGTATTGGAAAAGATACAATTATTTTTTCAAAGAAAGAGGAGCACAACAATGGAACACACAAAAATCTGGGACAGGAAGGCACCAGAGCATCAATAATCAATGTCAGGAATAAAGTCAGACCTTGGCATTAGAAGCTGCATTTGCGAAAGAGCCCTTAAAGCCTTGCTTCTTGAACAATCCAACACCTGTAATAAACACCAGTAGCAACCACTTTCACATTGAACAAAGATCATCCTAAAAGACCACACAATAATATATATGGAGAAAAGACGCAAAAGAAAGTACACTTCATAAAATACTATCAAGATAGATGGTTTCTAACAAGAGGAAGAACATAGCAGTCTCCCTAGGCAGAAAAGGCACAGTTAGATCTAATTGCTAAAACATCATTATAAAAAAATCCATTACAATTCAAAATCTATCCAGTAGGAGTTGGGTGCATAAGGATACCTACAAATCTACAACCCACATGTGCAGAGTGAGAGAGAGAGTCTATCCAGTACGAGTTGGGTGCATAAGGATACCTACAAATCCACAATCCACATGAGCAGAGAGAGAGAGAGAGAGACTCCATTTTTCAATAGTTCAGCAAAAGGAAATCTCCATTTTTCAATAGTTCGGCAAAAGGAAATCTCCATTTTTCAATAGTTCAGCAAAAGGAAATCTCCATTTTTCAATAGTTCAGCAAAAGGAAATCTCCATTTTTCAATAGTTCAGCAAAAGGAAATCTCCATTTTTCAATAGTTAAGCAAAAGGAAATTATATTCAAGTGCTTAATCTCCCAAAAGACAATAAGGTTCTTTGAAAAAGCATTCTAAGCCTGACACTATTTTCAATCTGATCCATGAAAATTTAACACCCTCTAAAAGTCTAAATGTGATAAGAGTTATGTCCTGCAAAATCTCTAATTCCACCCACAGAATCTCACATCTCCATAATAATGATCACATCAACCTTTAAGAGAAAACTATAGAAAAGACCACACTACATCCCTGGTTCTTCAACCACTAAATGGTATGGAGTTACCACATTTGAGTACTTTATCATCTCTAAACCTAGTAACTTGTGTCATGCACAATTATTCAGGGGACATAGTTCAGCTCCAAATAATAACTATGGCCTTCCACAGGCTGTCAAATTCTTTTCTGAAATGACTAATTTTCAAGGTAACGTAAATATTGAGAAGTATAATCAAAGTGATCTAGAGGAGGAGTAAGATACGAAATTCAGCCTCCCAATTTCTAGCTTCCTTTTTAGCAGCTTTAGTCTCCATACTATCAACATTAAACAGCCACTGCTCTAAATTTAGAGAGTGAGAGGCAGCGAAATAAAATGAAGAGACAATCTGAGCCAAAAGTGAAATCTATTTTGTGTATACAAGCAGTCTCTGACTCTCCGCTCCTATTCTTGCATCTTATATTGCCAAGTTATACTTGATCACCAATACATTCTAGAATAGCACATATGTGACATTCCTGCTTCCTAGTACCTATTTACACTCATTACTAAGGCAAAAAAGAGAACTTCCCCATTGTGTCAGTCTTTGCAGCAGTCTCTCACCACATCCTCCACCTCTCAAAAAAGAAGATGCTGCTTATTCAAAGTTTGCAATTTTCACCATATCAAGAAAGGTCATGGGTAAACATTAACTCTATGAACTTCTGGTCCATTAGAAAGGCCCACAATACCTATAACTTGTATGTGTGTATCCTAAGGATATATCATTAGAATAATACCCCTGCCAAGCACTTATAACAGCCAAAATATAGCCACCTTTAGATTCAATCATGAACAAAACCAAGCTTATTTTTTTTAATCTCGGCTAATCCTACAATATCCCTTATTTCAAATGCTGTCAAAGAATGGTTCCCCTCTATTTTATACATACCTAATTACTATAATGCTATCACTGCACGTCTAAGAAAAAGTCCAAAAAATATTAGCATTACTGGACAACTCTCAGAGCTTTTGACGATTCAAATAAGGTCAAAACTACAGTCATAATAACCAAAAAAAAAACCAGCCTTTGGAGAACTTCTCGAACAACAAACCATTGACAATTCTATAACATACATAGAGTATATAATTACTCCCTCCTGACCTCTTCAAATAGTCATTTCAACTTTTATCGTGAGACAATTACTGTTAGAAAAAACTTTCAGAGTCAAAGGGAGTAATACTTAATAACACCACAAAATTAACTCCAATTTCCTCAGCAGCAACCACAATAACATCAATTTATTGTTTCAATCACAATAAGTAATTTCAAAATCTCTAAGAAAGTTCAAAATTTCGTTCTCAATCCCAAAAAGGTCTATTTTCTTTATATTCTTCAATTTATAGGTTACAATGAGCCCAATTTGATTTATTCCATCATTATCTAAAGCTAAATAACAAAAATTCTCTGCAATCTCCAAGCAATATTCGCAATTACAAACAAAAAATTCATCAAAAAGAGTAAAAATCAAATCCA